CACAAATTATGCAGTCGAGTTTCCCGCATTTGGGGAAATCGCAGGGGTCAGCACACCCGGAGTACAATGGATGAGCCTCACCCTGGGAAAACCTCCTTCGTGATCAAGGTATCTCCCCTGCCAGGTAAGTATGCTTTGCTTCGCGCCGGGACCCCTTCCCACCACCGCTACACTCACTTCATGTCACGGTGGTCCGCACTACGACGCCGGACGTTTACCCGCACGCTTGCAAAGGCTTGCTCCTGCGGGGATCAGATTCCCGGAGGTTCCGCCGCGTCGCCAACGGAGGCGAGCTCCGGTTCGCGCTCTTCCCACAATGCTCTGCGAGGGTGCTTATTTGCATGCACCGGGAAACCGCCTCTTGCTTGGCCATTGGCTCTCGGGAGGAGGAGGAGGAGGAGGAGGAGGCCGCCGACGAGTTCTCTTTGCGGTCCGCAGCTCCGAGACAGCATCTCTTCTTCGGGCGCCCGACGAGACGGGGGTTCGGGTGAGGCAGCTCCCTTCCCAAGAAGGAACAACGCGACTTGGGCTCTTCGGCTGGGAAGGAGGAGGAGAGTGAAGACAGACGCGCTAGGCTGCAGCTCCGGAGAAGCTTTTCTCTGGCACGGCGTTAACGCTGGAGATCCAAGTGTACCCGAGCTACATGCAGACAGACTCGGGACTCGCAGAAGGAAATATTTATATATCTTAAGTATAAATAAATACACCATATAGTTAAACTATGGCATCTATAGCCCGGAGATGCTCATGGCAAACAAACAGTAGTCTTGACACAGTGGGTTGTGCATCAATGGCTACTAATATTGGCGATTGTTCATTACCTGCCTTGAGACATCATGCTGTAAACCTTGCTGGGATACAAGCATACAAAGCAGTTCAGATTTGTCAGTTTTTAAATGCATTTAGATGCCCAGTATGTCAGGGCTGCACTAAATGCACATATGGTTTGATCCAAATGTACTTTTTCAGACTCCTTAGTTGCGAATAAAGAATAATGGCAGTGAATGTGTCTAATGCAGCTTGAGACTATTCAGATAAATTATTAATCCATTATTCCAAAATTTGTATCAATATTCCAATATGCTGATCCATATAAATCTGGCCAACTGTAACATAATTAGGAATGTGAAAGAGAAGCATATTCATAATTGATCTTCAATAAATGTTAAATTCCAATATATTTCTAGCTCCTGTCCCAGTACACCTACACATATTACTTTTAAAACTTCAGTAGTGCCACAAGATTGTTACTGAATTTTAAAGCTATTATCACTGGAAAAGAACTAATGAATGATAAAATACCCTTGTGCAAAATGTACTGTTATCAATGAGTAAATAATCTTCAATATCTTCAATGTTCATTTTATTAAGGTGCAAGTATCTCAAAGCACAAAAAAAATAAGTTTCTTGTATTCGCATTTTGTGTGAATCCAGCCAATGTAGTCTGAAATTGTGTACAGCTTAAATGTGATGTGTGATACCAGGAATTACAACTTAACTGTTCTGTGAACCCTGCAATAAATACTATTAGCTAAGCTGGATTGACCAGTTTAGCTAATAGCTTGTTTCTCAACCAGTTTGGTCTAGTTTAGTGAGCATCTCACTAGAAAACAAAAGACTATAAGTCTAGACTCTAGTCCCATTTTAGGCATGAACATAATTGGGTGACTCTGGGCCAATTGTTCCCTCTCAATTCTTGCCAAGAAAACTGCAGAGACTATCTCAGCTGGTTGCCAGGAGTCAACACTGACTATATAAAAAAAAAAGGTGGGCTAATATAAGATTCTGTGCCAAAGCACAACTTTGCACTCTGGCTCAATAACTGGCATTTTATCCCTAAGAAGGTGGACAGGAAGGCAGCCTCATCAGGATTCTCCAAGTCGGTGCCCTCCATACAAAGCTTCAATTCCTGTCATTTCTAGGCAGTAGATGGGGACGGTGAAGCCAGCTTCTTCTACAGGAGGGCAGACCTGAGAAGTCTGGCACAGCTCTGAAAATGCGCGCTCGCTGAATACAGTCAATTCTCAAATTATCCTTGCTTCCAACCGCTAGTTGCCACCGGAAGTAGTAAATCTCGCTCGTGGGCGTCGTTTTTTTTTTCAATGAGGAACCCCGCACTTAGCTCGGTACGGGATTACAGCACCGGAGCAACTTTCCCGGCATCCCCTGTGAAACGAAGGACGGGCGAGCAAGATCCTCATTGGAGGCGCCTTGTCTGATGACGTCACCGAAGCGCGCCGAGAAGCGAAGTTTCGTGCGAGCGGAGGGGGCCTCGGGGAATCGCGCGGGCGGTTCAGTCGCCGGCCAGCCGCTCTTTTTCCTCCTGCTTCCTGGTCCGCTTCTGATGGTAAGTGGAGCCGAGCGCGGGCTTGGAGAACCGGCAACGGAGCTTCGAGTCTTGCCCTTCTTCCGAGCAGGGTTTGAGGCCGGCCTGCCTCGCTCCTTTCGAGGTTGCCACCTGAAGCGGTTGCATTTCCGAGCAGTGCAAGGTTTATTGGAGATCGCTTTCCGACCTGATGCCGTTCCTTAAAGCCAAACCCACCCAAGGAAGGCTTGACCGAAGAGTAAACTGTTCAGTCTCGGGGTCTTAACTTCCTAGTATCATGCCGAGCCTATCGCTGTAGGAATTCAGCCTGGAATAGACGCCCCGCTCAGGTACTATAAAAAAAGAAAATGTCCATGACGTTCCCGTGTCAGGTTTGGCCATGATTTCGGTATGTCGTGTATTGAATAAACAAATGATCGAGTCTATATTAGTGTGCTAAAACGAGGCTTACAAGAACAGAGGTTGAGTCTATAAAGACCAAACCGATCACATTATGAGTTAGCATTTACCAGTTCGGTTCAGTTTTACTACAAGGTGAATTCTGTTGTATTCAAAGAATCTACCCATCTAAACACATTGAATTGCATTATAAATCTAAGGCATCTTTCACAAGACAATTGCAAGAGGTTTATCTTGTTGTCTCTGCTTAAGACGGTAATGTACAAGAAGCTTGTATCAGACTGGATATGAGTGTGTGTTTGTCTTGAGAAGCTTTTGTTATTTTAACAGAGACAACAACTGTATTGTTTGACAGTCCTGTGAATGGATCCTCCTGCAAAATTTTCCCACCAACAACCTTTCTATTCTTTCAGTAGGAGACAACAGTTCTGCAGTAAAAGGTGACTGGAACAGACAAAAGGCTGACTGAAGAAACCAAGATGGATAAAAAGGCATTTGAGACAGTTCTTGATGAAATTAGAAAGGTAATCAATGTTTGTATAATAAAAATATACAGAAGCTGAGAGCTTCACTGAATTTAGGAGACAGGTCGGAATGATTATACTGATACTTTTGGCCCAATTATTTAAGGAATTTATAGGTAGTCCTCAATTTACAATCAAAATTGAGCCCCAAATTTCTGTGGATAGCAAGACATTTGTTAAGTGAATTTTGCCTCATTTTATGACCTTTCTTGCCATGGTTGTTAAGTATGATGACCCAGAGTGTAACACAAACGTAACAAAATCCAAAACATAAATAAATGTCCATTAATGCCTCCAACTTGGCCCCACTGTTCAATAATTATCAGTTGGAGATAAAACGTACTCAAAGTAGTCTTTAAAAAAAAAGAAATACAGTCTGAATTTAATGAGCAGATAGAGGTGAAAATAAAAACCAAACAAACTACAATGATGAAATTTCCACAATAGAATAGGAAAAGTATTTACCACATTCAAGGCGATAACAAGGCACAGTCTGTTGGAAGGACGCCAACCAGGATAACCTCAAACCAGAATAAAACACACTTTGTCTCCAGTGTTTGCCAGAACGCAGGTCCAAACTCTTATGCAGTTCTCACACCTGCAGCCCATGAAGAGGATCAAGGCCCTCTCCTCCCAAGTAGACCACATCTCTCCCTTACCCTCTCCTCCCTGCGTGCCCTAGAATGGAGAGTGGATGGCCCTGGTTCCTCTTCTGACTGCTCAGCCGGTCTCTGCCCCTCCCCAGCCTCCACAAGCTCTGGAGCCACACTTCCATTCCCTCCTCTCTCTCAGAGTCAGTCTCCACCAGGGGCATGACATTAAGTGAATCAATCACTGTTAAGTTAATAACATGGTTGTTAAGTAAATCTGGCTTCCCATTGCTTTTGTTTGTCAGAAGGTCACAAAAGGTGGTCATATGACTCCAGGATATTGTAACCATCATAAGTATGAGCAAATTGGGAAGTGGCTGAATTTTGATTACATGAACATGGGATACTGCAATGGTCATAAATGTGAAAAACAGTCATAAGTCACTTTTTTCAAAGCCCTTGTAATTTTGAAGCTCAGTAAACGAACTTTTGTAAGTTGAGGACTATCTGTAAACCCTCCCTTTTTACCAAATAATTGTACTTGAGATAGCTAAGGATGAAGAGAAAATAAATTACAAAACGTATAGAATATTCATTTTTGATACATATTCTGTCCACCCAACAGACTTGTCAGAACTCTTCCATTTTAATTCCTGTAAGACTGACAAATGCCATTTCTGTGTTTATAGGCTGTTTTGATGGATTACAAATTAAAAGCAATTGAATATGTACATGGATACTTTTCTAGTGAACAGGTAAGGAAGATGAACTGTTTTATAAACCATTACAACTAAGGGAAGTTTACTGCATGAAAAAGGCACTTAAAGGTATTTTGTTTTCCTTTCAGCATTTGACAGTGGATTGTGCAAAGAGCTCATGAGATTAATCCAACATTGTAAGAAGTGTACTGTATGAAAAAACAATACAAGATGTTTATACTTTGTATATGCTGATTTATGCTGTACTGATTGTAGGAACTGATATAGATTTAACAATGAATGCTCACCATCAATGTCAGGTAGTCCTCAAACAAACATTCATTCAGCAACAGATTGAAATTACAGTGGCACTGAAAAAGGGGACTTTTGATTGGTCCTCAAAATTCCAGCCATTTCAGTGCTTCTGCAGTTTCTTGAACAAAATTTAAGTGCTTGGCAACTAGTGTACCCTTAGCAACAGTTGCAGCAACCTACACTCATAATCTCTACTGCTGACCTTCTCTGCCAGCTTCCCACAAGCAAAGTCAATGGGGAAGCTAGCAGGGAACATCTCAAGTTGTTTTAACAAGTGTCTTCCCCACCCCCGGGGCTTTCTTCACTTGAAGCACTGTGTTCTCCTTCTTCCTTCACTCACTTGCACCCACCAGCACTCTCTTTCCTTGGGTTTACCAGCATTCTCATGTGCACATCCTGTATCTTCTTTCGCTGCAATTACACACATGCATGCATCCCAGGACCTCTTTCCCTAGCCTCCCCTCGTGTACACATGCACACACACACACACACACACTGAATCCTCTTTCCCCTCCATCCTTCAGCTTTTCCCACCCTGCAATATTACCCTAATTTGCATTGGCCTATACCAGGCTTCACCCCCTCCTTCTTTGCAACCCTGCATTTCTTTCATCTGCTTTCCACTTAATGACCCGCTTGTCTTGGGGTTACAACAACAACTGGGAGTGCCTGGACTGCTGTCACTAAGAGATGCAATCACATGATGTCACACTTTACAACTTCATAGCTTCACAATGGCAATCCCACTCCCAAAGTGCAGTCAAAATTCAAAGACTACCTGTAACACCAACGTTCAAATTTCAAGTTATAGAAATAAATCATTTACTTATCAATTAAATGTGAGGAAAATTTTACATGCTAATTATTCAAAAGGTTTATAACATGAAGATAGTGAATGCTCATGTCATATTGAATTTGTTGTTGCCTATTAAAAATTAATTTGTAAGCCTTGAAGATGAGAGAAAATGCTTTTACTTCAAGAGAAGACAATAGTTTCAAATAAATTCTCTTGCATAAGTACATGGTATATAATAGAATGGCTTCTGTTGCAGATTGTTGAGCTGCTGAGGTACTTCTCTTGGGCTGAACCGCAATTAAAAGCGATGAAGGCATTACAGCATGTAAGTTTCTGAAGAATCAATGACTTCTTATAATTAACATAATAACTTTTATCCAGCTACAGTTTTTTTATTTGTCTTTTGTGAATTCATTTAGTTTATAACTTAGTCTCTTTCGTGAGGACAGCATGTTTCCATACTTACTGTATCATTAATATATTATCTGATCCAATTTTTTATGCCAGAAATTGAAATATTTTATTTTTTATTAAATGTATTGACCACCCATCTTACTACAAGATAACTCTGGATGGTTTACAATATTAAAATGCTCATACTTTGAGCCTAAAACCAGAATGTAACATGGACTGAGGCCACTTTTCTTCTATTTCTAGAAAATGGTAGCTGTTTATCCAGCAGAAGTGGTTAATATCCTCAACTGCTTCACTTTTAGTAAAGACAAGCTTATTGCACTTGAATTGTTGGCTTCGTAAGTATTTATGATGCATACTCTCATTAATAGTGGTAGTCCTTGACTTACAACCACAGTTGAGCCTAAAATTTCTGTTAAATGAGACATTTGGTGAGTTTTGCCCCATTTTACGACCTTTCTTGTCTCAGTTGTTAAGTGAATCACTGCAGTTGATATGTTAGTCACCCGGTTGTTAAGTGAACCCAGCTTCCCCATTTGACTTTGCTTGCCAGAAGGTCACAAAAGGGAATCACATGACCCGGGGACATAACAATGATCATAAATATCATTGTTATGAGTATTGCCAACTGCCTGAATTTTGATCACATGATCCTGCGGCTGCTGCAAAGGTCGTAACTCTGAAAAACGGTCATAAGTCACATTTTTCGGTGCCATTGTAACTTTGAACAGTCACTAATCAAACTGTTGTAAATTGACTACCTGTACCAGCTTAAGTCTAATTGATATTTAGCTGGATAAAAACCTGGTTGATTAAGGCATTTTTTTAAAAAAGGACTGATCCTATTTTGTATCATCTTGCTCTGTACAACTGGCTTTAACAATAAATATTTAAATAAAAATACAGCACTTTGCTCTCTATTCAGATTAGCTTTTTGTGTATTATTTCCTTTTTGAAAAATATAGTGAAGCAAGATTAAATTATAAAATGGATTGTGGCTATAAGGATTATAAAGAGTTTTTAAAACTGTTTGTTTGTAGCAATATAATTGATGCTCAGAATTGTCGTCTTATTGAAGACCTCTTCAGAGTTAATATGTCTGAGAAGAAGAGAAGCAGAAGAATCCTTGACCAGGTATTAAGACAAGGAACGTGTATGATTTAGAGTTTTTATAAAACTAGTCAAAGAAAAAGATCGATGAGCATATATAGCCAAAAGAAATTGGGAGGTGCTTGCTAGAGATTAAAGTTAAGAAGAGGCATTTTGAAAGATTGCTGAGGGATACAATTGGCTTGAGTTAATTCTTAGAACACCAAAATGTGTAAGGCAGTTTCACTCAGGAAATAGGAAGTGTCCTATTTAAAGTGTTAATGAAAAATAATCAGTTGGGAGGTTCCATAATAGAGCATCATTTAAAAACGAAATCTCTTGAAAGTGAAGTTGACAGAGAGAACCCAGAAGCATCTTACTGCTCACCCAGAGAGCCCGGCTGAGCACACACTCAGAGACAGAAGCAATTGTTTCAAATGTTTGAGAGTTCAGTTAGTGCTTGTAAGATGTGAAGGTTATTTTTCACACAGTGGATGAAAATGGTAGCAAATCTGATTATGCAAAACAAGGGATAGAAGAAACAGGCCATCCCACTCAGATGGGGGGGGGGGGGGGGGCAACCTGTTTCATAAGTTGGAAAGAAAAGAGCACAATATTTTTTTAAAAAAAATCAGTTTCTACATGTAGAATTATTACAACTATTACACAGTAGTCACTGAAGTACCTTCACCATTGTTTCCTTATTTTTCCTCAACAACGATTATTTATTAGAAGATCTTTCTTGGGAACTTGCCTAATTGATATTGACACTGCTTTGCCCTGCCACAAATTTCAGAACTACTTTCAGGTAGGACAAAAAAAATCAGTTAGTATCAACAGGTGCTAAGATGCAGCTAGGAAATATTATTCCCCAGAGAGGATGTTTATGCAAAATGTAAACTTGCCTAGGATCCTAAAACGGTATTCCTAGTCTCTGGATTAAAGAAAAGAAAAGCCTTTGCTGGCCTTTGCCCACTGCTGCCCTCTTTGCCCACCGCAGTACCTCTGCAGGGTAAATTGAACGCTTTTGAAAAAAGGAGGAGGATGTAAAAACAGGATATGCCTGGCGCTGCCATAAAGGGCATGCTTGTCTTAATCTTGCTGCATAATTCATCTGGAATCTGGGAATGGGGATATTGTGTTAATATTCCCTTCCATGTGTTTTATAGAACATGCTGGGTTGTTTCACAGTAGTGAAATACTCATTCTGACTTCCTGTGTGTGTGTGTGTGGTTTTGCTTTGCTTCTTTATTCTTTAGGCTTCCAAAGCAGGATGCAAAGCACCTCATGCGATGATATCTTCGTGTGGCATGATTCCTGGGAACCCTTACCCAAAAGGGAAGCCTAGCCGTATCAATGGAATTTTTCCTGTACGTATGGTCTTACTGGCCTTTCCATTTTTCTGAATTTTCTATTGTATAGTATGTCTTTTAACATATCTGTCGTGTTTTGCGGAAGGTTTATTCTGCTCAGGTTATCTCAAAGAAGGCATGTTATTTAACTTATCTAGCTTATCTCATAGAATTATATCCATGTTGATTAAATGTAAAGGAAACTGTCTGTCATGCCCTTTGTAACATATATTTATAATGGATATATATATATATATCCATTAATTATTCCTTCGTACTGTGGTTTCATTCACTTATTGTACCAAGTCTTCAATGTTTAGTGTTTAGCTTAGTGTGTGGTGTGAAACATTGTGGTTTGTAAACCCATTTTTATGATTTATCCATTAATTAGCTAATTTGTTTCATAAGCCATGATTAAGAAAATCACGACATTGTACAGTACTCCTTGAATGAGATCTGTCTTTTTGCTTCTAACATAGCATTATATTTTCACTAATGAAAAATCTTTATTTTATAGGGTTCCCCTGTTAAAAAGGAAAATGAGGATTATTCTAGTGAAGGCAAGGGAATAGCAGCTCGCATTCTTGGACCCTCAAAACCAGTAAGTCACATTAATGCCATGATAAAAAGATACCATTGACTTTGCTGTTGAAAACGAGATAAATTTAGTAGGAAAAAGAATTAACTAAGAATACAAATGTGACAAATACAACCCCTGTTTGTTATAAATAGCAGCTGATATATAGATCTAAGATTTTGTTCTTTAAAAAACCTTGTTCAGATGTCTATAAAATTAGCTATTAAGAAAGAACGATTTTCATAAAAGGAATTAAAGTATTTTAAGTACATTCTAAATGCAAGAAAGCAAAAGTTTGATTATTAAGAACAGACTTTCCCAACTTGGTATCTTCCAGTTATTTAGGATTATAATTTTGCATGCAGAATGTGGGAATTGCAGTCCAATTACAATTGTAAGTTAGGGAAATCTGCTTAGGCTGGCAGTGGCTATTGTTAGACTTTGTTCAGCGTAGTGAACTATAGAGTCATCCTAGGGTTACATGACATGTTTCCTCAGTGCATAGATGGTTTTGGGCAAGAGGTACAGCCCTACTTTCTCTCTCCATGCAGTTACTAAGTTATTGAGGTCCAAAGGGATGAAGGGATGAAAAGAGAAGCAGAAGTAAGCCACGATGTAGATTAGCTGATCACAGAGGTGGAATCTAGACAGAAAAGAAAAGGAAACCTTTAGGAGGATGACCCAAATAATGAACAGATTTTCCACCCAAAGAATACCAGTGAACGGGGGACAGGAAAGAAGAATCTTTGTCAAAGCCAAATGTATCATTGTTGCACAGTGTCTTGGGTAGCTTATTTTCAGGATAGCTTTGCATATAATCTTCGACCTTTTTTTTAAGGCTCCAGCAACATACAATCCTCACAAGCCTGTTCCGTACCCGATTCCCCCTTGTCGACCACATGCAACAATTGCACCAAGTAAGCTGGTTCTAATATGACCTAATTAGTACATCTCATAGATAGCTGATAGCCTCATATGCATTATTTATATATGAATAAATTTGTTTTCTCTGAGGTTGCTTGCTTCCTGTATATTTCTTTTATATTCACCTCTAATCTTTTCTGATAAGTTAATAGCCTGTAATAATGGGTGGTGCTCAGAGCTGAAAACTTTTCTCCCTAGAGAGGTTTATTGACATTAAGCAAAATAACTGTTATTTGCTAGGAATTGATGCTACCACATTTTCTGTTCCTTCCGTAAATAGCAATAAAAAGAATAAAAGGAAGGAGAGCCAACAATGTGCTAATTCTTGCCCAGCATCTTTTTCCATTTATTGGATACCAGATGAACATTTCATTTTTCTTCCAGGCCAAATCAACAATATTGTTTAATGTATTATATAACCAGTACAATACAAATTAAGCTAGTTTTTTTTTTTTCAGATAGAATACAAGTAATATATAACATTGTTGAATAGTTTTACCTAAGTAAATAATGTTAAAATATTTTTAAAGCCTTGTGGAGAAGCTGTGATTTTCACATGTGCTATTTAAGATCAGACAACGAGCAAAGCAACCCAGTAGGAATGTACGCTAGCTTATTATTTTTCCATCTTTCTGTGTCTTCTATTTCCTTACCAGGTGCTTACAACAATGCAGGTCTTGTTCCACTGGCTAATGTCATAGCTCCTGGTTTGCCAACTACACCATCATATAATTCTAGCACTGTAGGAACAGGTAAAGCAGGTATCCTTGGAAAATCCAGGTGACTGGTTTATGTTTCAACCAAGCCAAGAAGGGAGAAAGAACATATAAATGATAAACAACGTGAGACAGAGCCAGTTTGGTCTACTGGTTAAGGCACCAGGCTACAGCCAGCTATGTGACCTTGGGCCAGTCACATTTCTCAGCCCAACCGACCTCACGGGGTTGTTGTGGAGAAAACGGAAAGAAAGTATATGGGACATGTTTGCAAACAGGTTAATTGTAAAAATAATAAAGGGGAATGAATGATTGAATGAGATAGGAAGGAAGGGAGGGAACAGCTATCCTGCTCTTGGCTCCAGCAAGCCACTGCCACGGCCCCTCAGCCCATCCTGGCTGCAGCTGTTCTGAAAGGGAAATGTCAACTGAGATATAACTATCAGGTTTTTTTTCCACCACTTCGCCAAGAAATGTTTCTGTTTGGGAAAAATCACAGTGGGTGGAATTAGCACCTTAGAGCTTTAGTAAGGGGAAAGGTTGAGCCAGGACAATGGCCTTTAAAAAAAAACTAGATGGAGCCTAGAAGTTATTTGGACCAATTACTGAAATTATAGCAGAAGTAAATTGTTATTCCTCCTAACATTATCCCAAAGGTGCTTTTTCAGGGGGCAACTGGACTTTCTTGTTTTTTCTTTGAAGCTGTTTTACTACTCATCTAAGAAGCTTCTTCAGCTCTGACTGAACGGTGAGGAATGGAAGGATTTATATTCCTTGCAGGCAGCTGGTTGTTTGCATTCTTTTAGAGAGTTGTTGAGGCCACTTGGAGGTTTATCTGTGTTGTCAGGGTCACCTGAGTAGTGCAAATGGGTGTGGAACGTCTTGTCTGCAGAATGTTTTCTGCCCTGTATACCTTCACTAAGGCCACAGATAAACCTCCAAGTGGTCTCAATGATTTTCTAAAAGAATGCAAATGCCTGCAAGGAATATAAATCCTTCTATTCCCCATAATCCAGTCAGAGCTGAAGAAGCTTATTGAATGAGAAGCAAAACATCTTCAAAGAAAAAAGAAGAAAGTTCAGTTGCTTCCTGAAAACGCACTTTGGGGACAACCCTAACCTGGATGACTGAGAATCTCCACAGACTCCCCCTAAGATTGTTGAACCCAGATTTTACTGGCAAGACAGGTAGTCTTCAACTTATAACCATTCATTTAGTGATTGTTCGAAGTTACAACAGCACTGAAAAAAGTGACACGACTGTTTTTCACACTTATGATCATTGCAGCATCTCCACAGACATGTGATCAAAATTCGACTGCTTGGTAACTGGCTTGTATTTATGACAGTTGCAGTGTCCCAGGGACATGTGATCACCTTTCTGAGACCTTCTGACAAGCAAAGTCAGTGGGGAAATCAGATTCACTTAACAACCTTGTTACTAACTTAACATCTGCAATGATTCAGTTAACAAATGGAGTGAGAAAAGTTGTAAAATGGGGACAAAACTCACTGAAATATCATAAAACGTCATAAAAGTGAATCACATAATTCACTTAACAAATGTCTTGCTTAGCAACAGGGATTTTAGGCTCAATTGTGGTTGTAAGTCAAAGAAGTACTTGTACTAGTCTTCAGCAAAAATGTCTTAGTTCTTCTTTCAGATTACTTAGCAATCAAAGCAACATAAAGGAAGTCTTAGATGTTTGTTTGCATTTGATAAGTCATCTGTTTAGTATCCGCTTCTTCCTTAATTCATTATACTCTTTATATAGAAAATGAAGAACTTTCCAATCAAGCAAAATCATCCCAAAGTCAAGGTAAACTATCTATTTACAAAGACAAGCTAATGTAATTTCAAATTACAGTAAAGTACAATAAAGTAGATAAAGTATACAATAAAGTATAAATGTGCCAAATTTACTAATTGATTAGAGGATTTTTTTCTGATAGTCAGTCTCATAAGTATATGCATACTCCATCCTGGATATATATCATTGAGAATTATTGTGAGAAAGTCATTGTGTTTGTTTCTAGGTTTGATTAGATAATGATTTGCATGGACTATGAAGCTAAGTACAGTTAGTGCTGAGTTTTTTTTTCCTGCAGTGAGATGATGACATTATTATTTGAAACCTTTTGTTTAGCACAAGTGGGTAAAAACTGTATTTGCTCTCATCAATAGGTAGCTGAATTTCTCCTTAAAACAAGATGCAAGTTCTCTTTTAAATTATTTAAAAAATAGTTGTGCTTTGAAAGTAAGCCCCATTGAGCTTATATCTGGGTAAACGTGCACGGGATTGTATTTTTTTAAAAATCCTTTTTTTAGCAATTTACAATACAGTGAATATACCGTAGTATTCATAGTATTTTTTATTAAAATATCCAAGAACAAATTAAAGTATCAGTTGAACAATAATTAAGCTTTTGTTTAATGATTTTAAGATTAAACTGTTAAAATAAACTTGGGTGAATTAGGAATAAATTAGGAAAATGAAAATGTATAAAAACCATTCTGCCTTTCATATGCTTTTCAATACTGTTTTCTGCAGTATGTTTCAAATGTGAACAGTAGAGCATTGTAATATTTTAGCACCGAGTCACAGATGAGAGTGAAATTATTTCCTATTGCTGCTGGAAAAGTGAATGGCTGTCCTTTTCTTTGATAGAACAAAGTGTCTTGCTCAAAGTGCTTTGTGCATCATTAACTTTTTAAAATCTCCATTGATAGACTTTCTATGAGACAATACAATTTCTAATTCTATCCAGCAATAATGGGTTTCATGGATAATTGCAATTTTGTCCCTTTTTTATTCATTTACCTTTCCCAGAGTGAAAAGTATTGAATATACTTGTCATTTGATAATTCCTAACACTGTCTCACAAGAAAATTAGGAAACACTGGTAATAGTCATGGATCCAATTACTGTACTTAAAAAGATTTCTTTAAAATCAGAAAGGTTTCTTTTTTTCCCCTCCTGTTTAGCAGAATTAGTCAGAGGTATGTTCTGTAATGGGGTTGCTTGATAACTACAGTATTATTTTTATCTCAAATTAATGGTTCACCAGTTTTGCTGTACAACTTCTTCCCATTATATTTTCTGGAATAATGCTGCTTTTCTCTATACTTTCTAAACTATAAAAACTCCAGAGTTTCTAAAGTATTATGAGTTCATCATGCCGATTTAACATAATTGAGTTCCTTTTACTTTCAGTGGTATGTATCTATTTATGCTTGTATACTACCAGATCAGACTGACTCACAAAGGTGTACAGACAAAATAAAAATGACAGTAAAGTAGAGCCCTAAAATAATCTATATACTACTAAAACTCTCTTGTATATCTGTTTGTAACCTTCAGTTGGGCAAAACGGTGCATTCTAAGACAATAGTTTTTGAATCAATGGGCTGACTTCAAAAATGCATGGAAAAGCTGGGACCCATTATTCTTTTGGGATTAAAATTTGGCGAAGTTATAGCCTCTTCAATGAACTATGGTGCCACAGTTAGCCGCAGACATGTGTTTATTATTTCCAACACTCCCTGGCAGTTTCTCACAAGGGAAGTCAGTAGGGAACTTGACACAAAGTTGCTTCTATTTTCACTGCTTTTTTTTCTGCACATGGTCATTCTGTTTCTCTGCTCAAGTAAGAAAATATATCTGAAATAATAACCCAATGGGTCAAAGATTGTCTAGTAGCCAACAATCATAGGTATTACCTCAGATGTACATAACAGTCCTATAAGAAAGTTCCATTTTGGTGAACTTTTGAAATGATGAAACCCTCTGAATATTCACATTAATTATTTCTGTTTGGGAAAAATTAAGTTCAAAGTGGGAGACTTGCTTGCACTCAAATAAGAAATGGACAGCCATAGAAGCTTCAACTCATGAAAATTATGTGAACAGTGATTCATTTGGATTTTTAAAATGCCCAACTCCAGATTGCTTTGGGCACCTAATAAATAATGAAACAATAAATAATGAAACAATGGAAAAATAAACATCTGGAAAAAGCATGCATACTAGAACACAAACATGCAGAACCTTACATTTTAAAAATGGCCATATTACTAAAGCAACAAAAGCTAGAATGGAGATACGGGACTAAAAATACCAAATCAATTGTGACTGAATTGTGGGGTAACAGTTCAGACAGCAGAATAATTGAACCAGTGATTTTGTCTCATTTTGCATACCATTTTGCTTTCTGGTAGTTGTAGTAGTAGCACCTTTTATTTTGCTGATCCATTGCTATGTAAACTGTATTAAAATGCATTCATGTTGAATACAAAGATATCTACTGCTTCCCAAGAATTCTTACCGGTTTTGTTTCTTTCCAGCTTTTGCCACACAAATGAATCATCTCTTTGCACCTCATGGTTCTAATCCTGCTGCTACTCCAGCCCCAACCCCATCATCAGTTAAGGCAATAAGCCACTCATCAGCACTTCCATCTCCAGCTGTGCCAGGGATAAGCGTGTCCAACCCTGCCTTTCCTGCCTTCTCTGGGCAGGTTATCTCCTCTATCCATCTGCCTCAACCATCCACTCCCGTTCCTACTGTTGTCAAATCCCATTCACTGCCTGCAGTTCCTGCCACATCTGCTCACGGTGCCAGCACTGCTCCGCTCCCTGCATCTTTCTCTGGACTGGCTTCTGTGCTGCCTGCCGCTGCAGCACCCCAAGGGCTCTCCACGCTCTGTGCCACCCCTGCACCTAACGAAGCCTTTGCATCTGCCTCTGCGCCCTTCGCCAGCCTTCCTTTTTCTGCAGCATCTGTCACTGCCCCAGCTAATAATCCTAATTCATTGTCATCTGCTTTTTCTGGCCTGCCTTTGTCCTTGACCCCCAATCCTCAGGGAGTAGCTAGCTCCATTTCATCGACCATTGCCAATTCTCCTGCCACGAGTTTACCTTGCCCGGTTAATTTACCTAACCCACTTTTATCAGCTTTAAAGGGGTTCCTCTCAGTGAACGATAGCTCATTACTCAATTCAAGTGCTCTGCCTTCGACTGTGACTGCTGAGCTCGCTTCTTTATCTGGTCTCCTCAGTCAGAACTCCGAAGCCGCCTCTTCATCCAGTAGCAAATGTTACACACCAACTGTTACCTCTTCCCTTCAGCATCTTTCCGCTCCAGGACTCTCCATTTTCTCAGGCCTCGCCTGTCAGCCAGGAGGGAGCAGTAGTGCCACTTCTCCTGCGTTGTCATCGCAGTCCCCTTTAACAACAATGCCATCATCCAATTTGCCGGTCAGCTGTGGCTCCTCAGTGGGTCTTCCGCATTGTCCAAGCCCTGCCAATCCCGAACAGCAAGTTTCCTCCACTCCAGCTGCCCCAGCTCTGATTAAAACCGAACCCACAAGCCCGACTCTTTCAGGCCTCAAAATCCCAACCCCCAATCACAGCACTTCAGGCTTGGCAGCCCTCGGGCATGCCTATTCCTCAGCTACTTCATTACCATGCAGCTTAACTAGTTCCCTCAATCCAGCACTTCCCGCTTTGACCACTCTGAACACGTCCCCATCTATTTCCTCCCACACTTCATCCACTCCAGTATATAATGCACTTCCTCCTTTCACTTCCTTGACCAACAGTTTTGCTTTTACTGGCAATCCAGCACTTACTCCGACGGGGCCTCTGTTGTCCATTCCACCAACAACTACTTCTGCCCCACATGTCAGCTCCTCAGGCCCCATTCTTCCGCCACTCATTGCCACAGCAGCTGCCCCGGCTCCACCATTCTCCCTTAACTTGTGCAGTGCTGTCTCTTCCCTGTTTTCTGTTCCTCAAGTGCCCCTGGGCTCATGCAACTCATCCTTCCCTCCTTTCCCAGTCTCTAACACACCCTCTGTCACTCCCGCTCTCCCTTCTTTCCCTGGGCTCCAGGCATCCTCTACAGTAGCAGCAGTTGCACCCCTGCCAGCAGCTGCCACAGCCCCATCTCCAGCTCCGGTGCTGCCAGGGTTTGCCTCGGCCTTTAGCTCAAACTTCAACTCTGCACTTGTGGCACAGGCCGGGTACGTTTTACTCCGAAAAGTCAAAAGTCATTTTGGCAGATTTCTTACAGTAATGTGCAATATGAAGTCTTAAGTGTGAATTATAAAATACTGATAATTCTTATGCTTCTTTCTGAATTCACTTATTGTTAAAAGTTGACAGATCCTGTCTATTGTTTTTCTTAATTTCCTTAATCTAGCAGGGCAAGGATATATAATTGTTTTAAATTGATTGGAATCCTTGAGAGGTATTGAAAGGTTTAAAATATTGGGATATTTCTACTACATATACTGAAATAACCAATTCCAAATTAGCATGACTTTGGGCCAGTCAGTTCTCTCTCAGCCCAACCCACCTCACAGATTTGTTGTGAGAAAACTAGCAGGAAAGGGATATATATTTGGGATATATTGGCCACCTTAAGTTATTGTCAAAATAATAAAGGCAGGATATAAATAAATAAAATAAATAAATGTTCACATTAAAAACACCTTGATCAAATGCTGATTGCTTCCATACACTGCATCTCTATAAGCTGCATGGTCATAGACTGGAATAAACAACTTTTTGTGGGGTAGTGTTGAATGTGTGAATTTGAAAAAGTTCCGCTTCTGCATTTTTAGCCTGACGTCTGGACTCCAGGCCCCTGGAAATACAGTTTTTCCAGGACTTCTGTCTCTACCTGCCATCCCTGGACTTGCTCAGAATGCAACACAGTCTTCCCTCCAAGAACTTCAGCACAGTGCAGCTGCACAGTCAGCATTACTGCAGGTAAAACAATATATAAATAAAAATGATAAGGTAGGCGTGAAGAATAAGAGAAATGATGAGTAAAAAATAGTGTTCTGACATCTACAGTGAGAATAAAAGTGTTATATGTACAAAACAATGAAGTTTTTGTTTTATTTTGGTTATTTAAAATTTGATGTGAGAAAGAAACACCAAGGAATGTATGGTGGAAGTTATTTTGGTGGAAAAATACCTATTTTTTTTACAAAATATGTAGTTATAAGCTATTATATGGAATGTTCAATTCATGCATGTGTATATAAATTGCTACATTTCCATAGCCTCGTTGGAACTAATGATCTCTGCATGGAATAAATCAGCTAAGGTTCCCCCTAGATACCTTCTGGATCTCTTACAATTTTCCAGTAGGTGCTTGGAGTCAAATAGGCAGATTATCAGCCCCCAGAAATCCTTCCTATAATAAAAGCCCTTGACAACAGAAGAGTCGCTTGCCCCTGATAGAGATGTGTTAAGTGTGGAATGTTGCATGAAATCGGACATTTTAATTTTTTTAAATTGCACATGTCTGATACTTGCTTATAAATTTAATGTAACTTTTCCCAAACTACCATCTTTCATATATGCTGGAGGAATTCTGTCAATGTGGCTTTTAACTTGGAATCCTGGGAACTACCCAACCCCTCTAGAAGTTATACTTTACTCTGTATGAGATAACAGATTCTGAACATCCAAGTCAGGCCTCATTATCTCATTTTTATTATAGTTGGAACTGTATTCTTTTATCAATATACCAATGCTACTATTTGGCTATATCATAAAACATCCTCATCCATTAATTTTTCCATTAAGAACAAAGTGTGAAATTTGTGCAGGTGCACGTAAGTGATGTTACTTTCTTTTCCATATTCTGAAACACTGAATTAAACTTTCTGAGAGTTGGTATTTTACCTTTCTTGCTGGCAACTTTGGATTTTGGAAGAGCCAAGGATCCAGCTTGCAATCATCCTATTAATTTCTTGTTTGTTTCTTTAAAGATACACTCTGCTTCTGCTCTAGAAAACTTTGGCTCTCAATCCGAAGGTTTCAGTGCATACCCCCCAGCAGCAGGAACATCTGGAACACCTTTTTCAGTGCAGACAAATCTTCCGCAGACTGGATGGCAATAATGAACATCAATTTCAGCTATCAAGAAGAATGCTCTAAAAGTTTATGATGCTTCCTTTGGAAAATACATTTTCAGTACATAGAATTCAAAAGAGATTCCAAATGCAGTAACTGTTGCTGAAATGATATCAAAACTGGATTTTATTTTTTTACTTTATATCAATGACCCTAGGAAGTTTCACTCCATTTTTCACAGTACACTCTGGGATACTTTAATCCAGGTAGGGTTTTTAAGATCCAGAATAACTGATCACTGAAAAAAAAACATATTTGCTGTGATGTTGGTGTTTTACAGATTGTTAAAAATCATGGCAATGCATGAAGTATAGGTACTGATTTAAAGATGTAGATCAAACTTCCTACCTATCCCCCCTCCCCCCCCAACTCTTTTTAGCAATTTAATCTTATGCATCTGCCTACTTTACTTAGGCTGAGCAGATCTGCACTCCTTTCTGCCTTGTCCTATAGAATCAATTCTATATTTTTTTTTCATTCTTTTAAAAAATTGATTATTCATTGCTATTTGCTCTGATGCAAGTAGCCCTCAACTAAGAATCCTGATAGGGACTGGAAAATTCATTATTACATGGTAATAATGCAGTCATGTGATGCATCCAATTTACAACCTTTTTCATTAAATCGTTAAACAAATCTCCCATCAGTCATTGAAACATCACTTCACTGTGACTTGCAGACTCCTGCAGGTGTCACCATTTGACTTCGCAAGGAAGGTTGCAAATGGTGAGCACGTGACTGCAGGACACTGCAGCTGTTACAAAGGCAAGCCAGCTGCGAAACACCCAGATTGCGATCGCATGACTGCAGAGACTGGTTGTAAGTTATCTTTTCACTGTCATTGTAGTTTCAAGGAGTTGCTAAACAAACGGTTGTACGTTGAGGACTACCTGTACTTGCTATTGAAAGTTCTACTACTTAACAATTTATCTCAGGCCTTTATTCCATCTTTTCCAAGCTGGTACCTTCAGGATGTCTTGGCATTTCAGTTTCAGGATAGCTGCATTTTTGAAGTGATAATTCCAACACACCTGGAGGGTATTAAGTAGGGAAAGCTGTTTTTACTTATATTTGAAATCTACCTCCCACCAATAATTTGTTCAATCTTCTAGGATACCAGAAGTCTGCTGTAGATATGTATTTTTTAATGTGTAACTTCAGATTAAATGTATAATTTCCTTCAATCAGTAGGAAATACATTTTGTAGATTATACTTTATGTTCCATAATAAACAAATGTTTGTATCTAATTCATGAACAAGGCACTGGTAATAACACTACTAATGGGTCTAATGTACCCCATCAAATGCAATCAAATATATTGAAGAGTTTTGGATTTGTGAATCAAGTATTCACTTTATTTATGAGAACAAAACAAATGCACGTAATGTCAGATTTGAATGAACTTTGTGGTTCCATTCTGAAAATTTTAAATTTTTAAGTAGGTAGAGCTAGATTTTTACACACTCTTCTAGTAACACTTGTGGGGAAGCCAAAATAATTATATACATTTTTTACATTGGCTTTTTGAAATTAAGTCCTATTCTAATTATGAATTGTGCAATATAACATCGTTGCTATTTTAATAAAGACTTCTGTACTATTTCCTATAACTTCTGGGAAAGTTATGGCTCTTCAGCTGTTCTACGGGTAGTCCTTGACTTATGACTATCATTGAGCTCAAAATTTATGTTGCTGAGATATTTGTTAAGTGAATTTTGCCCCATTTTATGACCTTTCTTGCCACAGTTGTTAAATGAATCACTATAGTTATTAACTTAGTAACACAGTTGTTAAATGAATCTGCTTCCCCATTTCCTGGTTGTCAGAAGGTCCAAAAGGTGATCACATGATTCAGGACACTGCGATGTTCATAAGTACAAGTCGGTTGCCAAGCATTTGAATTTTGATCACATGTCCATGGGGATCCTAAGTTTGAAAAATAGTCATAAGTCATTTTTTTTTCAGTGCTGTTATAACTTTGAATGGTCATTAAATGAACTGTTGCAAGTCAAGGACTACCTGCATTGTAGCTCTTTTAACATCCTCTAATGTTGGCTGTGCTTTTAAAGGCTGCTGGGAGTTAAAATTCATCAACAGCTAAAAGACAAAAGCTTCTTCATCAGCCTTGATTTAACATCTGTAGTGATGAATATAACCCCTGCCTCATATTATCTCTTAAAATAATTTTGATCATATTTTAGATTTATGGTAGATATACTTGATGTTAAAATTTTAATGTGAACTTAATGCACTTTGTTGCAGTGCATAGCTTAATGCTTTTTCTAAAGATGACAGTCTACTGAATAGTAATACTAATGTAGAAATTTTCCATAGCTAAGCAGGTGTGGAGAATGCTAATATGTATATAGCTGTATTTTTATAATTTTTTAAAATAAAATGAATAGCAGTGATGTTTCTAAAATAGACTGAATAAACAGTTCCTTTCAAACTTGCCTTGAGTAGTTTTTATATAACTAAAGTAATTAAACTATCAAGTAATTAATATAAAAAGTATAATACAAGATCAGTATCCAGTTTAGTCATTCTACAGCAAAATAGTCATTGCTGTTAAATCAGATTGCCTCTTATCCCTGCTACTACCCATACTAGTGTACATGTGCACATATCCAAGCTCCTCACACCATTCATTTTTAGAATAACCAATGTTATTCAGAACACAAAAAGAATAATCAAAAATGAAAGGTATTGGATACAAAAGGGACTTATAACTAAAATTAGCTTACACCAATATCACTGCAACCATCTTTGCTTCTACAGTATTCATACACTGCTTCTTTCTAAACTTTTCACCTCTTTCATTTTCTCATCAACTCCATCAAACACAATTCTCGCAGCCTTTTCTTTCCTCTCAGCCTATTCACACTTCCTTCCTATGCTGGTTTTCCTATGCAGCTCTCATTCTTTCAGTGTGAACAAGTGTTCTCAATGAATCAGAATTGGAAGAGACTTTGGAGGTTTTCTAGTCCAACCCCCTGATCAAGCAGGAAACATTTCAGACAAATGGCTGTCCGGTCTCTTTTTAAAAACCTCCAGTGATATTTCTTTCGTACCAGTATTCATAGAAGCATTCTACATATAGGTTGGAAAGTGTCCCCCTAAGGTGCTACAGGCATTGCTGTGGGATGTGGAGTTGGAAGATCCTAGGTTTGGTGTCATGTTTCACCCCAAAACAGCAAGTTGAAAGTTTCTGCTTTTCACAATCTGGCTTACTAACTGGCAGCCATTGTTTGCTTTGCAAGATTCCTTTGGCATAACTGTCAGTTACACATCTTGAGATGGGGGAGAAGCATTAAAATGAACAGCAGAGCTGCCTTGTGGCGAGATGGGAAACAAATTCAATAAATAAAAGCTCTTGTAGCATTTTACTTTAGTGTTGCTTCTGAAAAAGGTAATGTTTCATTTAGCATTTTCTTCATAAAACCCTATATGGAACTAGGCTGTGCATTTATAGATTCAAGCCATTTGTGAGGACTGACAGTCTCTTCAAATCCTGGTTCTCAACAGCGGAATCATCATGGTGCCAGAGATGATATTCAGCAGGTTCTGACCAGTTTTGGAGAACCAGTAGTGGAAATTTTGATTAGTTCAGAGAACTGGCAAATACCACCTCTGACTGGCCCCTTCCCCATCTATTCTCTGCCTCCCGAGTCCAGCGGATAGGTTGGGCCTTCTTTTGTTGCCCTGCACAGGAGAATGGAGCTGGAAAGCAGGTTAGTGGGGTGGGGAAGGAATGGGATTTTGCAGCAATCTTCCCTCAGGAGTTGGGTGGGAATGGAGATTTTGCAGTATCCTTCCCCGGCCACACCCGCCAAGCCAAGCCATGCCCACAGAACCGGTAGTAAAAAAAACAATCCCACCACTGAATGATGCAGTTGTCATATCATGGGACTTTTCCTTGCAATCCATGTTAGAATGTGCCTCTCTCTACCTCGGAAACTACTGTAAAAGTTCCTGTATAAAAATACCCCTGAAATGAACAAATGTCAATGTACAAAGTAGTGCTCAACTTAAAACAGTTCATTTAGTGACCATTCAAAGTTACAACAGCACTGAAGTGTTTTATGACCGTTTTTCACACTTATGACCATTGCAGTATTCCCATGGTTACGTGAGGAAAATTCAGACACTTGGCACCTGACTCATATTTATGACCGTTGCAGCGTCCTGGGGTCATGTGATCCCCTTTTGCCACCTTCCGACAAGCAAAATCAACGGGGGAAGCCAGATTCACTTAACAACCATGTGACTACCTTAACAACTACAGTGATTCACTTCACGAATGTGGCAAGAAAGGTCATAAAATGGGACAAAAATTCAATAAGTCTCGCTTAGCAACAGAAATGCTGGGCTCTGTTGTGGTCGTAAGTCGAGGACTACCTGCAATCGGTTTACACAAGCTCTCTTGAGGAAATTCCACTCGTTAGAGCTAGAACTGCAGACAGAAAAGCGTCCAAACACAAAATAAAACGCGGCGCCGAGTTATTCGGTTCCGAAAAGGAAGAAGCTTCAAGAAAATCAAACCACCCGCTCCCCGCTCACATTCAGCCCCTTGCCGGAGGGAAAAAACGCGCGCGTGCGCACTTGGTTGGATTCGATTCGCCAGCCGCAAACGTGGCGCCACCAGGAGCGTCGGGATCTCTGCGCGTGAGCGTTGCCAGTGCTGGGCGAGGCCGAGGCGCGCTTTGAGCGGCGCGATGGAGTCTACGGTGGAAGAGTTGATGCCCCGCCTCTTACCTGTAGAGGATTGCGACCTCGCGGAAGACTTCGACCCTACGGTACCCCCACGAACCCCCCAAGAGTATTTAAAGCGGGTCCAGTAAGTTCATTGGTCGGTGGTGGCGTTCCCCGTTGGATGGGAAGGCGGTTTGGGGATGGGGCTGCGCTTGGTTGAGTGGGCGAAGTGGGATGGGGTCAACCCGGCGCTAACATGTATATGAGATGGGCGCTATATTTATATTTACTCCTATGCGGGAGTAAAGCACGGGAGTAAAGCGTTTCTTCTGTAATGGTGAACGGTTCTGGTAGGACCTGACAAGGTACTTCAGAGATTCGCCTGAGTATAGTGTTGCTACTGGTAATGCAATATGGCGGTTTGCTTTGGTGGTGGTGGGATTTACTGCATGAATATAGGATAATACTGAAATGCGGCTTGGAATCCATTCATATTGGCCTTTTCATAGTGATTTTTCGGGATTTGCTAATTTGTGTGTGTGTGTGTGTTTAACTCAGTAATATTGGTTCTCGGCTCTTCTCCAAACGATAAATAAGTCATGCAGACCTAGTATAATTAAATGATCTGCAAAGCTTGATTAAATGGAATGAAAAACACTAGAAATATTTTTGCATTGTGCCGTGAATCTAAATCAATTTTAAAACTTAAGTTCATTACGGCAGCATTTCAAAGAATACATCCTATATCCTAGTTTTGTTCAAACTGTAATCCATTAGAATAGAGTCTTTGACATGTAACAATCCTATCCACTTTGTCTTATTTTGAAAAACTCAAGACTGATAAGCAGACAATGCTGGAATAAATTTTAAGGATTTGCCAGGCTTAATTCTTTAATTCCTAAATTAGGTTTAATTAGAAATCAAAAAACACTTAAAATTGCAAACATTTTTATTTTGTAGGATTGAAGCTGCAAAATGTCCTGATGTTGTTGTGGCCCAGATTGATCCCAAGAAACTGAAAAAGAAGCAGACTCTAAATATTTCAGTAGGTTTTTAAAAAATCATTATTATAAGCATTATAAAATAAAAGTATACTTCTCATGGTGATTGGATGTGAACAATATAATACTATTAAAAGATTGCCATAATCCATCTGCATGGTGGCTAGTCCTACAAAATGGAAAAGGCTGTTTTAACATTGAATATGACATTCTTTTATTATTATTAGAATTTTTAAACAGATAGAAGATAATTCTATTTTCTATATTTTTTCTGTTTAAGAAAAAAGATTAAAAAGAACAGTAAAAAGAATAAGAAAAGGGAAAATATTTAAAGAAGCAACTTCTGATCTTTCTTACAGCAGTTACCAGCATACTTAATATTACTCATCTCCTTAACAAGTTACATCACATAATTCATGTTTTCCCATATTTGATCTTCTTCAAGCAGAAAATTCAAAAATCATCAAGGCGTTTTTATCCATTTTTAATAAAAAAAAAGTTAAAGTGTTTCCAGTCTTTTAGAAAAGTACTTATTGTTTTCTCCATGATCAAACAGATCAATGTTGCCATTTAAGCAAATTCTTTCATCTTTTCATTGTAGGTAGTCCTGCATTTTTGAAAAACAATTATGTGTTTGTGTGAATTAATATGACATTCTTAATATTCTCATTGTGTTGCCTGTGTTTTTTTTAAGCTTTCAGGGTGTCAACCTGCTCCTGAAGGATACTCTCCAACACTGAAATGGCAACAGCAACAAGTGTCTCATTTTTCAACCATACGCCAGGTATACATACATACATGCAAGTATACAAAAGTGATTTTATGTTGAGTGTTTCTTATGTACTTATTCTGGTCTTTACAGCCATAATTCCCATTTTTAGGAAGCTGGCACTTTACTACTATTGTTGTTTGCCATCAGTGAGATTTACCAAGGTGTAGAACTCATTGGGTGCCTCTCAGCCAACTATGCCTCACAAACTTGATATTATGGGAAAAGTTAGGTTTCATACTGCATTTACATATAAATACATATGTAATAAAATAGTATTAAATGCACTAGTACTAATATTCCACTTGAAGGCTTAAATATCAGTTATAAAGTGAATGCCAAAATAAAATAACAATTTATTTATAGAGTTTGTAAAAACAAAGGTGACACTGGATAATATACAACAAAGTTCTGTTAAGTGGTCAATATCAATCCCCAAAGGTCGTAGGATTGTTGGTTATTATGTCGAGTAATCTACAGTTATATTTACAATCCAAGATGCAAACTTAATTCAAATCCTAACCAAGGATATAAGAATTATTAAAGTGGCATCTAAGAACATGGGCAGTTTCAAGCAGGGTGGTTTTGTTGCTATTATGGTTGCATAGTCAGCCAGATGTTCAAATTCAATTTGGCATTTTTGTCTTGCTATCAAGTCCTTCCAAAGGATCTGGGATAGACAGATATGGATATTTGATGGTGTTATTGGTCATTGTTATTTGCAATAATAGAAAAGTAATATGTATTTTCTTGTAATAAATGCTTAGAAGATCAATGAACAGTTTGAAACTTTATGAAGGGGGTCATTGAGAAGAATGTGGGGGCCCTGTTATGCAGCATTAAAACCAAAGTTAGAATAAAAATCCAAATAGTATACACTGCTCAAAAAAATAAAGGGAACAACACAATGTAACTCCAAGTCAATCACACTGTCCACTAAGGTAGCAACACTGATTGACAATCAATTTCACATGCTGTTGTGCAAATGGAACAGAGAATAGGTGGAAAGCATAGGCAGTTAGCAAGACATCCCCAATAAAGGAGTGATTCTGCAGGTGGTGACCACAGACCACTTCTCAGTTCCTATGCTTTCTGGCTGATGGTTTGGTCATTTTTGAATGCTGGCGGTGCTTTCACTCTAGTGGTAGCATGAGAGGAGGTCTACAACCTACTCAAGTGGCTCAGGTAGTACAGCTCATCCAGGATGGCACATCAATGCGAGCTGTGGCAAGAAGGTTTGCTGTGTCAGCGTAGTGTCCAGAGCATGGAGGTGCTACCAGGAGACAGGCCAGTACATCAGGAGACGTGGAGGCCGTAGCAGGGCAACAACCCAGCATCAGGAACGCTACCTCCACCTTTGTGCAAGGACACGACAGGAGGAACACTGCCAGAGCCCTGCAAAATGACCTCCAGCGGGCCACAAATGTGCATGTGGCTGCTCAGTCAGAAACAGACTCCATGAGGGTGTCTTGAGGGCCAGACGTCCACAGGTGGGGTTGTGCTTACAACCCAACACCATGCAGGACATTTGGCATTTGCCAGAGAACACCAAGATTGGCAAATTCGCCACTGGCGCCCTGTGCTCTTCACAGATGAAAGCAGGTTCACACTGAGCACATGACAGACGTGACAGGGTCTGGAGACACCGTGGAGAACGTGCTGCTGCCTGCAACATCCTCCAGCATGACCGGTTTGGCAGTGGGTCAGTAATGGTGTGGGGTGGCATTTCTTTAGGCGGCTGCACAGCCCTCCATGTGCTTGCCAGAGGTAGCCTGCTTCCATTAGGTACCAAGATGAGATCCTCAGACCCCTTGTGAGACCATATGCTGGTGCGGTTGGCCCTGGGTTCCTCCTAATGCAAGACAAGGCTAGACCTCATGTGGCTGGAGTTTGTCAGCAGCTCCTGCAAGACAAAGACATTGATGCTATGGACTGGCCCGCCCATTCCCCAGACCTGAAACCAGTTGAGCACATCTGGGACATCATGTCTCGTTCAATCCACCAATGCCACATTGCACCACAGACTGTCCAAGAGTTGGGGGATGCTTTAGTCCAGGTGTGGGAGGAGATCTCTCAGGAGACCATCCGCCACCTCATCAGGAGCATGCCCAGGCATTGTAGGGAGGTCATACAGGCATGTGGAGGCCACACACACTACTGAGCCTCATTTTGACTTGTTTTAAGGACATTACATCAAAGTTGGATCAGCCTGTAGTGTTTTTTTCCACTTTTAATTTTGAGTGTAACTCCAAATCCAGACCTCCATGGGTTGCTAAATTTGATTTCCATTGATAATTTTTGTGTGATTTTGTCAGCACATTCAACTATTTAATGAACAAAGTATTTAATAATATTTCATTCATTCAGATCTAGGATGTCTTATTTTTGTCTTCCCTTTATTTTTTTGAGCAGTGTATGTCCAATGTTGTAAACAAACTCAAACCACAATACCAATTTACAATAAAAACATCAGCCAATAGAACTCACCTAGTCTACTGGCCCAAATGCCAGGGGAAACAGCCAGGTCTTGAGTGCTAGATGAAAATTTAACAGGATTGGGACCATCTAGATGTCAAGAGGGATTACCTTTCTACAGGGTAGACACTTAAACAAAAAAGGTAGAATTTCTGTGTCCAACAAAATCACTTATTTAATAAAAGGAATTTGGAGCATGCTATCCCTGCTAAATCCTTTTTAACAATAGGACTGATGGATTTAAATTTAATTGATTGTATAAATGAAGGTAATAATTAAATCTCCATAGGACTAAGAATAGCCACTCTAAAGCAGAAAGGAATGTTTATCAATCCAAACGAATAATTCAGCAAGCATAATCACAGAAGAGGCATTTTTGTTGTGTGTGAGAAGAATGCCATTTCTATGTATAGTGTCTACCACCTGCAAATATATGTTAACGTGATCAAATGTTTGTTAATTAGAATATTGTAATTGATCAAATGTTTATCTTTTAGAGTGTGAACAAGCACAGGGATCACTGGAAAGCACAACATTTGGACAGCAATGTAACAATGGCAAGTAAAATATATTTTCAGCATACTATCAATTTACATATACGATTTTTTTTTCTTCTGTTCCAGTTGTATCAGATTCTCAGAAGATACCTAAACAAGTTCATACAGATTTTTTGACAATGTTTTTTCAGAAGTGCTTTGCCATTCCCTCCTTTCTAGGGCTGAGAGTGACTAGCCCAAGGTTCCCCACCTGGCTTTGTGCCTAAGACAAGATTAGAACTCAGTTCCTGGTTTCTACTCTGATGCCTGCAGTCCTACACATTGAGATTCAAATAGAGTTCAGAAGTTATATTTGGTTCATGTGTAGGCCTTTATATATACATTGACAGCATTCTTCAGCTAAAAATTATGAAACTTTTTCCTCTGGCAGCCTCCTTCCCCTCCCCCTATTTTGTGGGTGACTTCTGCTACTGATGATGCCCAGCCAGCCCAGCCCTGGATCTCCTACGTCAACCCTCCGTTAACTGTTTTAAATTAAAAATAAAGGCTGCAGAACTTTAAAAAAGGAAAATATTTGTGGGAGGGGGGGAAAGAACAAACCCGAATCCATTTATGAAATAGAAAACATAACTTGAGTTGTTGTTTTTTTAATTGTTCAGCCCACAACAGATGATGAGGAAGGTTGGAAAAAATTCTGCTTAGGTGAAAAGTTGTATTTAGAATTAACAGATCAAATCTCAAGTGATGAAAGTCCAGGAATTGATTATGTACAGGTGAGTATTAAATCTGTCCTAAATAATTATATCACCTTTAAATAGCTATATTTTGATCCAGAGTTTGCATGCATGTTCTGAAATATGTATGAAGATTGGACATATGATCATCCTTAAAATATTTACAATATAATCCCTTATCCAACAAAATGGGTCTGTCTTGTTGCTGCATATACCTAAAATATTGATTCTATATATTAAATAGAAAATATTCAGAATCCCAGTGATACTAGCAGCACATTTGGTAGGGTTAAACAGGTCTTCTCAATGGCCATACTACCCTAGGAGCCATTTTAGAAAACTATTACTAAGAAGAATAACATTATTGTATTGGAGATTGTATTTGGGGGTGGGGGGGTTATTTCTCTTTCAAATGAGCTTAATTATGTACTGGTTTTACTTGTGGGGAATATGGTTGTGCATATACATTAGAAAAGCAGGCTTTAATGTTTAGATAAATAGATATCAGGAACTGGTTTTGGAAATGTAAACTTCAGGAGAAGCAAATAGTATTTGTTGCATATATTTCTAGAGTTTAATTACATTATGAAAGCCACACAGAAGTTGTCATAGGATGGGCAGCTATGTAAATGTTTTCAGTAAATAAAATTTATTTTAACAAAGCTCTAAATGTTGGAAATATCTATACAATCTCTCCTAAAAAATGACAATTGCACACTAGTGTTCAGATCTGAAATTAATTTAAGTATTTAGGTTTCCAACCATTTTTTAAAATCCAACATATTTTTGTTTCTTTTCATTCAGATTGGCTTTCCTCCATTGCTGAGCATTGTTAGCAGAATGAATCAGGTACTTTACTTTTATTGTCAGTTTCATTTCCATTCAGTCTTGGTGTGGTGAATCTACCTTTTTTTCTCTACCTGCCTCCATAGCTTGCTTCAAAAACCTGAACTTGGAGAGAGGTAGTCCTTGACTTTCGATCATAATTAAGCCAAAAATTTCTGTTGCTAAGTGAAACAGTTAATTTTGCCTCATTTTATGACTTTTCTTGCTAGAATTATTAAGTGAATCTGGCTTTGACTTTATCAGAGATTGCAAAAGGACACTGCAACCGTCATAAATATGAACCAGATGCCAAGCACTTCAATTTTGATCGCGTGAATATGGATATGCTGCAATGGTCATAAGTGTGAAAAAATGTAAATCACTTTTTGTTGTGCTGTTATAACTTTGAATGGCCATTAAATGAATGGTTGTAAGTCAAGGACTATTTGTAATCCCAAATAGAAATGTATTGCTCAAGATCTGAAGAACCCTGAAGATTCTTAGCTGTAAAAGAGTGATAAGTATGTTTTAAATATGTTAGATCTAAATTGTTTTGTAATAAGAGGAAAGATTTTTTTAAAAGGCCCATAAAAGATGGAGAGACACAAATAATTTTCTATTTCCCTTTTTGACCTGCTAGGCTGCAGCTAACAAAGCATCAGGAATTTCAGAGAGTTCAGTAAAGTAATATTTGCCTTGTTGATGGCCAAATTTTTATAGCTCTTCTATCATTTATTCAGATATAGACGGATTGTTTTAATTGTATGTGTGTGAATTTTCTACACTTATGACAGCTAACAACAAATTAAAATTTTGCACAATTAAGAATAACCATTTCTTAAGAGATTCTCCAGATGAATTGTGCCTTTAAAAGCTTCTGGAAAATTCCCACTGAATCTATCTGCTGAAGAGAGGCTGTTCTGTAACATAGGTTCTATGATGGAGAAGCAATGTTTTCCGGCCTCAGGTTTCTCTCAGGTCACTTACTAATAATCATAATTATAATAGAAAGTATCCTAATAGGAATCAGTGGCATACATAGTTATTTCCATTTTTATAAAAATTTATATGACCCCCTTTCACTTGAAACAAAACAATTTTCTATTTTGCTGTGAACATTAAAAAAATGATTAGGAGAGCCTATAACCCAAAGAATCCAGTAACATACCTTAGAAAAGAGAGTGTTACAAAAAAAAGATGTAAACAAAACAGAAGATTAATAGAAGGGGTGAAATTTGATTATTTTTGTCTGTAATCCTAATGGATCTTTTAATTTGCTTTAATATATAAAAACTATAATATATATTTTCATTATACTATCTTGCTTACTTTTCAAAATTCTTTTTTTGACAAGCTGTTTTAGCAACTATTTCATAAGATTAAAAATTTTACTTTTTTGTAGTAATTACTCATATATTGAATTCTTCTAGCATTTGTATAAAATTTCTAATTATAAATCTGTGCAGTGCACTGGGAAAGAACAAACCACCATGCAAAATTGTAAAAGCTGTTTTTCTATTCTAAAAGGCAACAGTGACCAGTGTCTTAGAATACTTGACAAACTGGCTGGTGGAAAAAGAATTTACTCCAGAACTGGTAACTTGCAGTTTTATGTTATAAGAGGCATTATCCCCGTTGAAATTAAAATTGAAGGAAATTAATTGGTTTATTAATAATTGATTTTAATCTGGAATTGTCAACATGAGTACTTCTGTAGCTTTGAATAAACCTATAAAAAGGATATGTTCCCCCTAAAATGACTGATTTAAATGGGCTCTTTTAGAATTTTGAATTGCCTTCATTTCTTAGTATCTATATTCCTTTCATATTGATTCAATGTATACCATAGTTGTATAAAAATTGAATTAAAACCTGTAACTTTTAAATTGCATCTCTAAAGCTAAATTTTAAATCTGTTTGTTACAACATTGAAGAGTATTTTAATTTCTATACTGTAGTTGGTTCATGCTGTACACAAGACTCGACAAAGGAATAGCAAGTCAGCACCCACTGTACCCTGAATTGCTTTCTCAGTCCTTCTCATTAAAAATTTTTATTTGAATACAAAATATTATAGTTCTCATGTGAAATCTGTAAAACAATTTACCATTCTCACACAAAGCCTCATAAGCCATTACTGTATAAGGTTTTTAAAATGTGTACTGGCTTTGTGCAGTCATACCCAGATTCTGAAAAGACTGGTCCTCTTTCATCTATAAGTTCTATTAAATATCTGCATTAATTGATTTTGATCTTTGTACCTATTTACCTGTGGTCTTATCACCATGCCTTCAAAAACAATCTATTTTCCCTCCAAGTGAAGTTTAGTGGTTTCTTAAAATCTCATTTAAAAACTTTAATAACAAAATTAAACCTAATAACTGCTTGAAGCAGGGACGACTGGGAAATCCCAAATCTGTATTGAAAATACACTGCTCAAAAAAAATAAAGGGAACACTTAAACAGCACAATGTAACTCCAAGTCAATCACACTTCTGTGAAATCAAACTGTCCACTTAGGTAGCAAAACTGATTGACAATCAATTTCACATGCTGTTGTGCAAATGGAACAGACAACAGGTGGAAAGCATAGGCAGTTAGCAAGACATCCCCAATAAAGGAGTGGTTCTGCAGGTGGTGACCACAGACCACTTCTCAGTTCCTATGCTTTCTGGCTGATGGTTAGGTCTTTTTTGAATGCTGGCGGTGCTTTCACTCTAGTGGTAGCATGAGAGGAGGTCTACAACCCACACAAGTGGCTCAGGTAGTGCAGCTCATGCAGGATGGCACATCAATGCGAGCTGTGGCAAGAAGGTTTGCTGTGTCTGTCAGCGTAGTGTCCAGAGCATGGAGGCGCTACCAGGAGACAGACAGGCCAGTACATCAGGAGACGTGGAGGAGGCCGTAGGAGGGCAACAACCCAGCATCAGGAACGCTATCTCCACCTTTGTGCAAGGACACGACAGGAGGAACACTGCCAGAGCCCTGCAAAATGACCTCCAGCGGGCCACAAATGTGCATGTGGCTGCTCAAACGGTCAGAAACAGACTCGATGAGGGTGTCTTGAGGGCCCGATGTCCACAGGTGGGGGTTGTGCTTATGGCCCAACACCATGCAGGACATTTGGCATTTGCCAGAGAATCCCAAGATTGGCAAATTCACCACTAGCGCCCTGTGCTCTTCACAGATGAAAGCAGGTTCACACTGAGCATGTGACAGACGTGACAGGGTCTGGAGACACCGTGGAGAACGTTCTGCTGCCTGCAACATCCTCCAGCATGACCGGTTTGGCAGTGGGTCAGTAATGGTGTGGGGTGGCATTTCTTTAGGCGGCTGCACAGCCCTCCATGTGCTCGCCAGAGGTAACCTGACTGCCATTAGGTACTGAGATGAGATCCTTAGACCCCTTGTGAGACCATATGCTGGTGCGGTTGGCCCTGGATTCCTCCTAATGCAAGACAATGCTAGACCTCATGTGGCTGGAGTGTGTCAGCAGTTCCTGCAAGACAAAGGTATTGATGCTATGGACTGGTCTGCCTGGTCCCCAGAACTGAATCCAATTGAGCAAATCTGGGACAACATGTCTCGCTCCATCCACCAACGCCACATTGCACCACAGACTGTCCAGGAGTTGGGGGATGCTTTAGTCCAGGTGTGGAAGGAGATCCCTCAGGAGACCATCCACCACCTCATCAGGAGCATGCCCAGGCATTGTAGGGAGGTCATACAGGCATGTGGAGTCCACGCACACTACTGAGCCTCATTTTGACTTGCTTTAAGGACATTACATCAAAGTTGGATCAGCCTGTAGTGTTTTTTTCCACTTTAATTTTGAGTGTCACTCCAAATCCAGACCTCCATGGGTTGCTAAATTTGATTTCCATTGATAATTTTTGTGTGATTTTGTTTTCAGCACATTCAACTATGCAATGAACAAAGTATTTAATAAGAATATTTCATTCATTCAGATCTAGGATGTCTTATTCTTGTGTTCCCTTTATTTTTTTGAGCAATGTAGCAAAACAAAAAAAGAAAAACAGATGACAAGGTAAATGATTTGCATTGTTACCAATAAACTGACATGGATGTGTTCATAGAGGTACAAAGAAGCAATGCAAAGATAATTTTATCTTTAAATTCTTCTTGCAATTTCTTAACATTTCTCTAGGGCAGATGGCTTTATGCTTTGTTAGCTTGTCTGGAGAAACCATTATTACCAGAGGCTCACTCTCTAATTCGACAACTGGCTAGGAAATGCTCTGAAGTGAGAGTTCTGGAGGTAAGCTGAATTAGTTGATAATTGAAGAGGAATATTAGAAGATCCTGATCATGCTAATAATTTGAAGCCATCATTTCCTTGAAATATGTACATTTTTCATTTGGTACTTTGATATTTCAGAATGATAGTCAAAACTTGAGAAAAGGACAATATGAGTTATACTAACTGTTCAAAAGTGACGTTGTTTAGTCTTTGATGAATTTAATGAATATCTAAAAGTGTTTTCTAGAAATGTGTTTAGTAGAGCTATCAATCACAGATAGTTGCCAAAATCCATCGTAATTTGTTGGAAATTTGTCACAGTTGTTGACATAAGACAATTGCTTGAAATTTGGTGAAACAAACTACTTAAATACTTTTCTTCCCTCTAATGCAGGAGAACAAGAATGATGAAAAAGTATCTGCTCTAAACTTGTTGATTTGTTTGGTTGGAAGGTATGGCAAATTATTTTAATTAGTATACTAATTAAAGAAATCAATCTCTCCACCATTATTCTCAAGTCTGCACCATTACTTACATGAGCATTGTTTTGCAATAATAATTGTAATTTTACCCAACTCTATATTTTGTTTCTTTCCAGAGACTTAAAAAGGATTAAATCAATTGTTGGATTATGTTATGTAATATTACAACATTCATTGGCAATAATATACAGCCATATCATTTCTCTTTCTCTGATTTCACCTGTGCCTTTCTCATGTCTCCTCAGTATTATGTATTGTAAAGAGACGAGTGCTTAAAATTGCATAATAAAATTCAATGATGATTGCAGCCTCTTTTATAAGATCTCTCCATGCTGTCCTAGCTTCAAATGCTAGGCCTTGAATCACATGATCTATGATTCCATGCAAAGATCAATTCAGGGTGTCCTGCATTGAAACACACCAAAGAGTAGTTAAAATAGTATAATTCTCATATCAGTATCCAACTAAATGAAAATCGAAACAAGCTATATAGTGAAATACTGCCTTTCTTTCTTACATTTATTCAAGATTTGTCTTGAAGATTATAGTAATATTTGTAATGTTTGTGGATTTTTTTCCTCCCACTTAACAGGTATTTTGACCAATATGACCTGGCTGACGAGGCATCCTGATAAACATCTGAAAACTATACATGCACAAGTTGTTAATCTTTCACAGGCAGGCAGGCAGTACTTTCAGATTGAAGTATGAAGAATGGATGCACCACATGTTCCAATGTGACCTTAGTGGATACTTGGGGTTTTTTTTAAGAAAATAAACTGATTTTAGCAAGTAGAGATGTTAATAAAATATTTTCTTACAAACTATTGTCCATAATTCAGCTTGTTTGATCTACATACAAACTATGTGTCTCTCTTTGAGGTACTACACAGTAAATCGGTGTCTTATTAAAACCCAGAATTGAAGCAAACTAATCAAAAAGGCTATTTATGTTGAACAATAACATTTTAAACATTTAAGTGTAAACATGGAGGCTTTAAAATACTGTCTTAATTCAGACAATGAATCCACATTGTTCTCTTGGAAACACCATGGAAATAGTTTGCCATTGCCTTTCTTCAGAATGTTCCTCAGCTGTCCAGTCTACCCTAAAGCTCTGGGATTTCTTACTGGTCCCCCCCTTCAAGTCTGAACAAGGGTACAAACCTGCTTAACTTGGAAGAACAAAATTCACCCAGGTGTTCCCATCTTCTATGATCCTTCCGTAAATCCAGTCCTGATACCAAGCTGATCTATACAACTTCCTTTGACTAATAGGTTGACAAAATCAAATACTAATTCTGTATGTAGAATTGTAGCAAAGCCTGATCAGAGTCCTTGGTATTCTCAGATCTTGGTTGGTGGCTTGCAGATATTTAACTACCCAACTAGATAATATCAGAGAGTACAAGGACTCCATAATTCAATCCTGATCTATAGGTGAAACTCAAAAAATTAGAATATGTGCAAAAGTTCAGTTATTTCAGTAATGCAACTTAAAAGGTAAAACTAATATATGAGATAGACTCATTACATGCAAAGCAAGATAATTCAAGCTGTGATTTGTCATAATTGAGGTGATTATGGCTTACAGCTCATGAAAACCCCAAATCCACAACCTCAGAAAATTAGAATATTGTGAAAAGGTTCAATATTCTAGGCTCAAAGTGTCCCACACTAATCAGCTAATTTAGCCATTACACCTGCAAAGGGTTCCTGAGCCTTTAAATGGTCTCTCAGTCTGGTTCAGTAGGAAGCACAATCATGGGAAAGACTGCAGACCTGATAGTTGTGCAGAAAACCACTGACACCCTCCTCAAAAGGTAATTGCAAAAGAAGTTGGATGTTCTCAAAGTGCTGTATCAAAGCACATTAATAGAAAGTTATGTGGAAGGGAAAAGTGGAAGAAAAACAAGCAGCAGGGGTGACTGCAGCCTGGAGAGGATTGTCAAGAAAAGGCCATTCAAAAGTGTTGGGGACTTTCACAAGGAGTGGACTGAGGCTGGAGTCAGTGCATCAAGAGCCACCACACACAGACGGATTCTGGACATGGGCTTCAAATGTCATATTCCTCTTGTCAAGCCGCTCCTGACAAACAACATCAGAAGTAGCTTACCTGGGCTAATGAAAAACAGAACTGGTCTGTTGTTCAGTGGTCCAAACTCCTCTTTTCTGATGAGAGCAACTTTTGCATCTCATTTGGAAACCAAGGACCCAGAGTCTGGAGGAAGAATGGAGAGGCACACACTGCAAGATGCTTGAAGTCCAGTGTGGAGTTTCCACAGTCTGTGTTGATTTGGGGAGCCATGTCATCTGCTGGTGTTGGTCCACTGTGCTTCATTAAGTCCAGGGTCAACACAGCTTGTTTTGGAGCTCTTCATGCTTCCTTCCACAGACGAGCTTTATGGGGATGCTGACTTCATTTTCCAGCAGGACATGATACCTGCCCACACTGCCAAAAGCACCAAAACCTGGTTCAATGACCATGAGATTACTGTGCTTGATTGGCCAGCAAACTCACCTGACCTGAACCCCATAGAGAATCTATGGGGCATTGCCAAGAGAAAGATGAGAGACATGAGACCAAACAATGCAGAAGAACTGAAAGCCACTATTGAAGCATCCTGGTCTTCTATAACAACTCAGCAGTGCCACAGGCTGACAGCTTCTATGCCACGCTGCATTGAGGCAGTAATTGCTGCAAAAGGGGCCCAAACCAAGTATTGAGTACATATGCATGCTTATATGTTTCAGAGGTCCGATATTGTTCTCTGTACAATCCTTGTTTTATTGATTGCATGTAATATTCTAATTTTCTGAGATTGTGGATTTGGGGTTTTCATGAGCTGTAAGCCATAATCATCACAATTATGACAAATCACGGCTTGAACTATCTTTCTTTGCATGTAATGAGTCTATCTCATATATTAGTTTCACCTTTTAAGTTGCATCACTGAAATAAAAACTTTTTCACGATATTCTAATTTTTCAAGTTTCACCTGTTTATGTTGATTTAACATTTACTATAGCCATCTTAAATCAAACTCTGAGCTGCTCCCATTCAGTAATTAAAACAATACAACATAATACATTAAACTATAAATATTAAAAACCCAGCAACAAGCTGAAGGTCCCAACATCCATGTTAAATCATCTAATTTACCTCATCCTAACCCACTCATAGGGGGATATCCCCCTTCATACTTTATAGAAGGGTAGAGGCCTACCAGACTTCAAGGTGTCTGTGAAGGTTCTCAATCATTCAGGTCAGTTGCCTGAAAGGTGTTTTTTTCAAAAGGCAACTGGACTTTGTTTTTTCTTTTAAGAAGTTTTGCTTCTCATCCAAGAAGCTTCTTCAGTTCTGTTTCTTCAATTCTTCAGAACTGAAGCAGCTTGTTGGATGAGAAGCAAAATGTCTTCAAGAAAAAACAGTCCAGTTGCCTTTTGAAAAAGCACCTTTTAGACAAACTTCAAGGAGTTCCACAGAGAAGCCATGCTTTCTAGATGCCATAAGATTGCAATGTTTAAGGGAGTAGGAGTGTCCCACCCTTTCTGATCTGGTAGGATGAGTAGATGTCCTTTGGAAGAGGAAGTCCTACAGATCACTTAGACTTGTGCTGTAAGACTTTAAAGGTAATAACAGATTGGACTGCACCCAGAAGGAAACTGACAGCCAGTGAAGATCACACAATACATGTTATGCGAGTAAACCTAAGAGCTCCCATCACCACATGCACCATCACATTCTGGACCAGTTGTAACTTCCAAGTCTTCAAGGGCAGTCCCATGTAGAGCATACTGCAATAATCCAAACAGCTGGTAACCAAGGGTTGAGTAAGTATGCAAATTTCCTTCCAGTCCAGGAAAGGATGCTCCAGAATCATCTGTACATAGGATCTCCTAGTCATGCCTGCCACCTGTTCTTTGAGCATGAATCTGCAAATTGCACACCAACTACTGCAATAACCTTTTTCATAAGATTGGAAACAGATAAGAATGAACAATAAATAAGTCTTTGTTGCTAACATGCTAGATTCTGACTATTACGTCTGGCAAATCCTTAACTAGTCCACATCAATGACTACATCTTTCTGAGTGATGTATTTAGTTATGAGCAAAAGGTTACTTCTTGAATATAAGGTGTTCGATCATTCTACCTTCTTGTTATTGTATCCATGTACTATCAATTTCAGTTTGATGAGCAGGGTTTCTAAATACAACTCGGGTATACTCATTGGCAGCTTTGATATTACCCTGCTGCTGCTTCACTGTTTTTAATTCCAATATGTGAAAACCATTAATCTGAAGTTCTTATTTGAAGTCTCAACCTTACAAAGAAAATCCAATAAATCAAAATGTAAACTCTAGCAATGCATGAGACTTATCTGTATTACTTCAATAATTAGCAGACAACACCTTATATACACCCATTAAATATGATTTGGAACAATAACTACCTAGTTCAAGCTTAATTGTTAGATTAACATTGTTTATGTAATTTTGAAACTTTCAGCTAGATAAGCAAATGCAGCATTTTAAAAACTATGCAAGATCACTTGAAGCAATTTTATTGTGTATGGAATATATCTAAACTCTTTCTGGAACTGAAAAGCAGGAGTACCATTCTCAGCTCTATGGCCCTTACCCATTTCAATACAGCAAAATTGAAATTGTATAGGATTTGGCTATATTTGGCTTAGCATTTATTTAGGATATTTTATTCATCCTTACAAACATGAAACATTCATATTCATGGCCACAAATTGTAGATAATTAAAAATCTACCAGAAAATTATGAAAAATTACACTTAATCACTTCTGGAAAAAATCTATTTGACAAATAATACAATAAAAAATAGCTTCATGTGCTTTATAAATAAAATACAGTTCATTTTGCCATTTTACAGAGCAACAGAATGAATTTTATATTTACATCTTCTGTATCATCACCTGAAATTTACCTGCAAACAAAAAAAAACAAGTTAAGGAATAATTGTTTTATCAGAAACAACCTTATGTACTTCTATAAATTCTATTAATATTCAGGTTCATTCCAATTTATATTTTACAGTGCAGTCTGTTCACTGCCTTGATGAGTAGAACTTATCTGGAGTTAAGTATGAGACTACAATCTGTTTCCTTCTCAACTGATTACTTTCACATTCTAAAAATCTCATTATTTCCTATCTAAATTTGAACATAATTCAGCATTCTCTATTTTCATACAGTTGTCAAACAGAGAAACTAACATAATTGTGGAATCTAGTAGAGAACTAGTAGGTAGCTCTGATTCCTGGTGCTACGAATATACTATATGCAGCTTTGTACCACATGTAGAGAAAAACTCTCTCCAGACATTTGGAAAAGATTTGTGAATTGAAACAGGTATCTTGTTCAACTTGACAATTTTAGCTGAACATTACTGCCAATAACTACTGTTACATTATGCATCTTAGGCATCTCATTAATTTTACACTAAGGTACAGTATACTTTTCGGTTCTAGTATCTGAATTTTCAAAGCAATTGTTTTGTAATTTCACTTCTTTTCTCTTACAATTACACAGGAGAGCAGATTTATCTCATTTTGCTAATACAGCACATACTTACATGCAGGCATTGTTGAAACTTCAGCTGTCACAATACTCTTTATTCCCAAATTTGATAAAGCGCCTCTAATTAGTCCACATGTAAATGCCAAATACTGTAAGATATATCAAGG